CATATCAGAGAAAGCATTTGGCCTTTGCTTTTTTGAGATTGTCTTATTTCACTTCACATGGTATTCTCTAGCTCCCTGTTAGGCTGAATAATATATCATTGTGTATATACCACATTTCCTTTATCCATTCATCTGTTGAAGGGCATCTGGGTTTGTTCCATAGTTTATCTATTGTGAATTAAACTGCTAAAAACATCGATGTGACTGTGTCTCTGTAGTATGCTGACTTCAGGTCCTTTGGGCATAGACCAAGGAGTGGGAAATCTGGGTCAAATGGTGGTTCCACACCAAAAACTTAACATCAAAAAACAACCCAATCAATAAATGGACCGAGAAACTGATCCTTTGTTCCAAATATGAACAGACACTTCACAGAAGATATACAATTGATCAACAAATATATGAAAAAATGTTCAACATTTCTAGCAATTAGAGAAATGCAAATCAAAAGTACTCTAAGATTTCATGTCACTCCAGTCAGAATGGCAATTATCATGAGCCATGTGCCTCAAATCCACACAGCGTTTCAAATATGGCTTCAATTATCCAATCTGAATACCTAGCCCAAGTTACATTAATACCTGTGCTCATTTCTCTTCTCTAAAATAAAATTGTGTGATACTTATGCCGTGGGAAGACTTTGCATGTGAATTCAAACAATCTAGATAGCTTAGCTCCTGGCATTCAGAATCCCCAACAAAAGATCATCCTCAAGTTATCTGTGGCCACTCGATCTTAGATCTTTGTCTTATATCAGCCATTCTTCCATAGCTGGTGCAACTGATGCCACTCGCTGCTCTGACCTCGGATCTTCCAGAATGACCACAGGGAAGTGCACAGAAAAACAGGATCCTCTCCTGGACTGACAAGAATGTAACACATAGGTTGATTGTGGAGGGGACAACCTGCCAGCACTGTCCGGCCAAGATACCATGTGTCTCAAACCCACAGTGCATTTCAAACATAGTCTCAGTTAGTTAATCTAAACAGCTAGCACAAGTTACTAACAACTCTGATCCTCTTGATTCTGTGAAATAAAATTTCATGGCACTTATACCTTGGTGAAATTTTTCAGACTAATTAAAAATTTTAAATTTTAAATTAAATAATCTACAAAGAGCTCACACTTCAGGCACTCAGGGATCTCTCATTGAAGGATCATATATTTGTGTGCTGTCCTCATCCAGGTCCACCTACTACTCCTCACCTACATAGACATTTCTCAGTGCTGAGGACAGTGTGAAGAGCACATTCCCTCCATGTGGATGACAGTGTGTGGTAAGAAGGATCAGTGTGGGAGGAAAGGAAAACTGTAGTGAGATTGCCATCGTGCTCACCACCACCATGGATGTCACACACATGCCTCGACGCTCAGTCCCCATGACTGAAACTGTGCAGAGCTCTCCCTGTGGGCAGCCACACTGCATGTTGGTCCTTCCTCCATCCTCACCTCCCTCAGCAGTTACCTATTTAAACTGGCTCAGGTGGTCGTGACTAAGGAGAGTAGATTCCACGTGGCTGGTACCCAGGGGCCTCCCACCTCATCTTTACGGCTGACATCTGTGCACACTCAGGTGGGGACCTCCTAAGACATTTCTGGGGTGAGAAGACACACAGTGTGCGGCCCACCTGTCTGGAGCTATGAAGCTGAAAGGCTGGAAGCAAAGGCTGCCCATTGACTATGGTGTGAACTTGGAGGCTCAAAGCATAGAACCCCTGACTGGCCACTAGGTGAGCATATCACAAACTAAGGATTTCCTAACAGCAATGGTGGAAGATTAAGGGTAGAAAATGAACATAAAGTGATGTTTTACAGTAATTATCTGTGAAACAAATCCATTTTCACTATTGGATTTTTTAAACTTAGTAGCTTCCCAAGAACATTTTCATTATGACATTTTAAAATTATAAATATTTGCCATTATCATCATCATCAATAGCATAGTTTAATGGCACTAAATATAGACTTTGTTGTGATACAATAACCATCATCCATCTCCAACATTCTTCATAGTACCAATATGAATCCTTGTTCCCAGTAGGAACACTTCCCAAATTTGCCAACCAACATGGTCTGCACCATTCTACTATGGAACTTGATGGGAAATTAACAAATAAGGCGCATATTGACAGAGCCAGGTATTTAGCTTTACTACATTTTCCAACACATATTGCAACCAGACCCCACAGGGACAAAGATCAGACTGTCCACCTCTGCAGCCTCCTCAAGGCCCTTTTAATGTCCCTGTTTCTCAGGCTGTATATGAAGGGGTTCAGCATGGGGGTGACTACAGTGTACATCAGAGAAGCCACCACATCCTTTCTGGGAGAATGTGATGCAGCTGAACCAAGGTACACTGCAGTACCTGTTCCTAAAAATATGCAAACACCTGCCAAGTGAGAGCCACAGGTGGAGAAGGCTTTGTACTTCCCACTTAAAGAGGGGATTCTCAGAAGAGAGGACATAATTTTATAGTAAGAGAAAAGGATTCCTGTGATGGGAAGAATACCATATACGGCAGCAAGAAAATACTTGCCAATGTTATTAGAGTAGGTGTCAGTGCAGGAAAGATTCAGAAGTAGAGAAGGGTCACAGAAGTTGGTAATTTGTAAGATCATCAAATTGTGCAGCTGAGAGTCCTAGAGACTCAGCAAAATGACAACAAAACTGAGAAGCCACAGAGGCGAGGGTTCATAATGACTAGATAATGCAGGGGGTAAGAGATGGCCACAAACCTGTCGAAGGCCATCACAGTCAGAAGCATATAATCCATACAAATAAAAATGGCAAAAAGAGACATCTGTGTCAAGCATCCTTCATAGGAGATATGTTCATTGTGTGTTTGAATGTTTACAATCATGTTTGTGACCATTGTAGAGATGACACCAATGTCAGCCAAGGACAGGTTGGAGAGGAAGAAGTACATGGGGGTGTGGAGGTGGGGGTCAGAGCTGACAGCCAGGATTATGAGCAGGTTCCCAAGCAGCATACCAGGTACATGGACAGGAACAGTCCAAAGAAGAAGGGCTGCAGGTCTGGAACTTCTGAGAGGCTCGGGAGTTGGAATTCAGAGACACGGGTTACGATTTGTGCTAGTATACTGCTTGGACACCTTTTGAAAAAACAAAGCAGGTGTTACAAAAAAATACCTAAAGAGGCACCCCTTATTCTGTAAGGATTTGAATTTAAGTATGTACAAGGAAGCTGCTCACATATTAGGTCCATACACCTTCAACAACAGTTGTCAGTAGTGAGAATCCCAGTCTCTACATACTCTTTCATTCTTTCTCCATAATTCACCCCTCTTTCCATACTCACATTTGTGGCATTTTCATAAGCAAAGTTAGAAATCCAGGAGCAGAGGAGAGAAAAAGTTCATGATCACAATGGAATATAGCTTACTGTTTTAAAAAAAAAGGAAATAAGTAATGACTTCCTGTAAGAGAAATTAGGAAGCAATTGATATACCTCATTTGGTTCTAAGGCCTTGGAACAAATTCCTTTGACAAGATATTTGTGACTATGTAACGACTGCTTTTCCTGACAACTAAATCAAGGGGGATGCATCATAACCAGAAAGAAGTATGCTCTATTTTCTGAAAGGGGTTTCATCATTCTTTGATCTTCTCATTTGCCTCCTTTGTGCATTTAAGTCTTCTCTTTAAAAATTATATAACAAGAAATAGGAAACCTTGCCTATAGTAAACTTCAGATTTTGATAAACAAGATTGAGTCAGTGCACATAATCAATAATAGCATTAACCACAAATGTGGCACTGGTGTGCAGTGTACCTGTCAATTATATTTAAAACCTACCCTGTAAAATCTCCTTTGAATAGTTTTATTTCATGCAGGTTTATTGTGTCAACCAATACAATATCTGCAAAGTATCTGTTCTATAAAATGCCACTTAACTTTTTCTTTTTCTTGATCCTGTACTTCCTCTAGCTTGCCAAAACTGCTTCATGGTTTTATGATCTCAGTCCATCAAGTATATTGATTATGATCTAAGAAAAAGGAAAGCCCTTAAACTCAAGTTTTATTTCCAATCTTCTTATTTCTTCATGGATTTTCTGGTCAGTCATTCCTGACACCTTGATTTCAATTCTCTTCTTTAGGCTGCATGAAGTACACTTGGTTTCATTTTTATTTTTCACCATGATTGAACTGGATACAGCATAAAGCAGAATATAGTAAGAAATAATAAAACAACTTCAAAACTTCCTCACCTTTAAAATGGGGCAATAATTCCCAACCTTGTATGGTTGTCATCAGGAAATTTTTTAAACAAATCTTTCAAGCTGCATAACTTGTAATTCTCTCCCACTATTAAGTGTCCCTGTGTATACCTTAGAATATCTATACAGTGATGTCAGACCAACACCAATTATATCTGCATGTCCACATGTAAAGTTATCCGCAGTCCTTTCTTATACCAGATCTGATATCCATTGTCTAACAACATCCTGACATAGAACATGCTCCATGAATATTATCTACTATTATTGTCCATAATACCCATTACCTATATTAAAATACATTAATCTGATAATATTTGTGCCAGGAATAACATTAGCAAGAGATATGAATCATGATATAAGAAATTTGAGTCTTAGTATCTGTACTTGATTCCATTATCCTGCAAACCTGTCTCCCAGCACATCTACTGTCATGAAATGGGAGGTGTAATTTTCTGTTGGTATTTTCATTTCAGTGTTATCTACCATACATTTTCCTTTACAAAATTGCTTTAAAAGTACCTAAAAATACTCATCTAAGTATTCTGCAAAACAATGCCTATTGCCCATGAAAATATACCAGGTTACATTAACCTGAGGTGATAATTCCTCTGTGAAGTACATTCCTCTTCTTCAGTTTTTATCTGATGCAAAGTACTACCTGAAGAAAAGACCCTGCCATTTAGTAGGAGAGTTTATTAATATGGCAATGATTTCAAAACCTTTCTGCCAATAGATTTGTCACTGAAATAAGAATATGCTTGTTTTGGCAACACATATATTAAATTGGGATGATAACAGAGAAGATTAGCATGGCCCCTGTGCAAGTATGACATGCAAATTCATGAAGTGTTCCATATTTAAAAAAAAGATTTTTCCATAACATCTTGGTTGGGGATAGGAGACTGATTTACAATGGAAAAAAAATCATGTTGAAATTTGCTATTAATGACCTACATTTAGGTCCCTATAAGAGCAGACAATATCACCTACATCTTCTCAATCCTAATACGTATCAGGAAAATGAAACATCAACCCAAGTAGTAATGTGCTGTCTTTGAAGAGTCCTGAAGAAATTTTGTCTTGTGCAGGGAATACTGTTTCCCTCTGGCTACAGCAGAAGGGCTGGTGCCCTGGGCTGGAGTCAGGAAGGCAACATGTCAGACCCACATCCCACCTGCCAGTGTGTGCGCAGTGTATGAATCTCTCCTCCTCTCCCTGCTCAATGCTTGAGGGAAACACAGATTATAACACCATCTGCACAACATGTGGAGCATCAAAGGGAAATGTGGAATTCAATAAATATTTGGTCAAAGGAAAAAGGAAACTGTTCTAAAATGCACAGCACATGCATCTGAAAGGGCAAAAATAAAGTGTCCCATCCAGAAATAGGACCAGTCACTTCAGACCACTGAATGCATCTGTTGAGTGGCATGAAGATCAACCTAGTCATGCTATCAGTAACAATAATGTCCGGAAATTTTTGGCCCAGATTTTATTCACATATCTCATATTATACAGAGAATAGTACCAAGTATCTATTTATCTTTACTCATTGCAGCTGCATCAGTGGGAAATCAGCTCAGATGGCAAGCTGACTCTAGACCCAAGTGAAACTAGGGACTGCCTTACAGACATAGAGATTGGGATTGACAGACTCTAAAATGGATCAATCAAATATATGTATATGTATATATATATATATATATATATATATATATATATATATATATATATATATTGTTGTTGTTGTTGTTTTATATTCCCACTTAACAGTTTTCAGCCTAAGTCCACAGATCTTAACCACTGGTAAATCTCAGGTATATTTTATAACTCCTTCCAGTTTTTTGAGTGAAATCAAGACCTAATATTAGGTTTCCTCTGAGATTGAGAGGGCTGTTTTCATCCATGGAAGAGCATGTGGTGAGCTCAAGAAGGCTATAGAGGGAGGCCAGGAGCATGATCTATGCTGAATGACCATGAGCCTCTCTTACTGATCTCTCCTGTGACCTGTGGCTGTTCTTCCATAGTACATGCAGCAGCCACACACACACACACACACACACACACACACACACACACACATACACACACTGCTCTGCCCTGTGATCCCCAGGAATCCCACAGGAAAAGCCTTGCTCTTTCTGCACTGACAGGGAAGAGAAATGGCTGGTGGGCTTGCTGATGGGACAGCCTGCCAGGGTTCTCCTGTGATAGCCTGTGTCCATGGCCAGACAGCCCAGTGCAAATAAGGCTGCATCTTTTCCTATCTAGGAAAGGAGTAAAATTTACATATGTAAAACACAATTCTTCCTTTTCTATGTAATAATAATGAATTGTATAAATATAACTAAAGTGAGATGGTGCACATGAAATGATATAGAAAAAGTTCCTCAGCACCTGAGCCTGGGAAGCCCTGCACCTCAGTTCATGGTGGTCTGGCTTCTGTCACCCTCCTCATCATCCTTATCACCTCCCTAGTCCTTTTTCAGAGCTTAGGAAACACTTCTGAAGAACTCATTTTGTGCTATTGTGGGTGAGATTTCTGCGTGAATTAGAACCAGTGTGGGTGGAGAGCACATATTGAACTTCTGATCTCCCACCTGTAACAAAAGCTTGAACCCCACAACCCCAAGGTTAAAGCTGCATGTTGGTGTCCTCCCATCTGGTAACACTACCCCAACAGTCCTTCCCACTTCCAAGGCCCACTCTGTACTTACTGGGTCATGTTGCTCTCCTGCAGGGTCATGACCAAAAAGTGCTGACCCTGAGACCCTACCATGTGTGGAGCCCAGGGAAGGAGAAACTGTGCCCACAGGAACAGATCATGTGCTCTGGAGTTTCCTGATGCAGACAACTCAGGAGGAGGCATGGCCATGCAGCTCACTGGACAAGAACCATAAACTGAAGGACTACAAGCACATTCTGAGTGAGGACTATATATGACCTTGGAAGATCAATACACAGAGCTCATAATTAGATTAGACTAATTGGTCCATGAAATCCCCATCTCCAAGGACTTTCCATTATCATCAATGGGTAAGGCAAAGAAAATAGTTTTGGTCCCCAACACTAATGAGGAGCTCACCTGTGTATTTATTCAATGTACATCTTTCCCTTCTCAGACTTAAAAATACATCTGCTTGTAAGATGTATTATTATTAAAGTATAAGGAGCAAAAATTTGCTGTGGGAAATTTAATAAGTATATACTTCTGTGACATTAACTTAATCACTTTTTAAAATTAAGCATTTAGTCATCAAGATAATAGTGGGCCTACTGATCAATATGATTTCCAAAGGATTACTTTGCAATATTGGAATGATGTGAAACTCTAAAATGCTCTGAGTATCTCCTGCAATTCCCTTCACTCCAACTTTGCTTTTCCTAGGCTCATGGACATCTCTGCCATTGTTCTTGAGTAATTGAAGGTTGTAGATGCTGTTAAGGGAAAGTATGGGGCTCCTGTGTCCATGACATAAACACAAACCAGAGCTTCTCCATCTTGTCTCTGGCTCTGTGGGACGTACCTGAGTAGGAGGAAGGTACAGACAGGAGAGCACCAGTGAAACCCTGCTGAGCAAGGCCAGGACCTGTGCACAGAGCAAGGGTCTACTCAGTGTTTAACACATTTTTTTTTCGTCTCCTGTGTCAAAGATGGTATAGGCTCTATGGAATCAAAAATGAAAGGGGGATGGTTATTCCACCCAAATATATAGCATATACTTACATCAGGGGAGTATGGAAAGGTAACGTTACAGAAATATGAACACAATAAGGTCATTCACAAGATATTTCAGTTGAAGAGCATGAAGATGAGCCTTTCCATATTAATAATAACTCTCTACCATTTGTGCCTGTATGTTACACCTTTATCACATCTCAGTCACATCGGGAGCACAGGTTTTCTGTTTAATCTGGATTCAACGTCATTATATCAACTGGAAATCATCTTGGTTGACATTACTGAGAACCAGAGAAGCTAACTAACTGCCTTTCTCTAACTGCCCTTTGTTCAATAAGGAATGAGTCCAGCTAACAGCAACCAAAATTTAATTGTGAATCTCTGGGTCTGATGCACAGATGTTTTTCACTGTTTCCCATCCATCAGAACATTTTTAAACTGAAGCAGATTATAGCCATTTATAAACTATTTCCAAGGCCCTGAGTAGTAATGAAACCCAGGCCTGCTTTGCTCCTCATCAGATGGAGGCTGCTGGTTACCAGAATGCAGGAAGACATGGCAGCTGCAAGGTGTCCTGAGTAGAAAAACACGGAGGTCTCTGTTGGAAGGTTTGAGCCCACTTGACCCAAGATCTTTGTCTCATCTCAGATATTCTTCCTGAATTGGTGCACCTGATGCCACTGACTTCTGTGTCCTGGAATCTACCAGAAATCCCAAGGGAAGTGCCCAGGAAAAGGGTCCCATCTTGGCATGACAGGAAAATGCAACACAGGAGTGCTTGTGGAAGGGACAACCTGCCAGCACTGGCCTGCCCAGGTGCCACGTGCCTCAAATCCACAGTGCATTTCAAATGTGTTTTCAGTTAGTCAACATTAAAAGTTACATAAACACCTGTGGTCCTTTATATTCTCTATAATGAAATAACTGGTACTTTTACCTGGGGAATATTTTGCACAGTAATTCAAACTATCTACAAATAAGGCAGAACTCATAATGTGGCACTCAGGGATCTCCCAAAAAACGATCATAATGTTCAGATGCTAATCTTATCCTGATCCTCATCCTCATCACTTTCATACTGTTTTTGGAATGTTGAGGACATGGTTTTAAGCACACATTTTCTCCCCTTGTGGATGACAGTGTACAGCTAGAAGAGTCTGTGGGAGTAAGACAGGACTTTCCATGAGCCTTCTGTTGCACTCACTACAACCAGGCATATGAACTCACAGTACGATCACTGACAATCTGCACCTTGTTCTCCCATCTGGGTAGACAAAGTGCATGCTCCTTCTGATGGTGAAGAAATAATTCTATGCAATGTCCTTCCTCCATCCTTCTCCTCCCACAGCAGCTACTGATTCACACTGGGGCTCTGCTGATTTAGGACTAAGGAGGGCAGTTCCAAAGCCCGCAAATCCCTGAGGCCCAGTGCCCTCCACATGAACCTCAGGATATCCACTCAGACTTAGCTAGGAGCTTCCTGATACAGACATCCACAGCAGGGAGATGCGCTGGAATGGAGCTCACTGGCTGGGGTCCTCAAGCTGAAGGGCTGGAAGCATAGGCTGGTTTCTAACTATTGTACAACCTTAGCAGCTCAGTGCATGTGGCTCCTATTTACCAAGTAGTTGAACATGTCAGCAACCCTAAGTGCTTCCTAATACTAAGGATGAAGAACAAGAGGAAAAAATGAACATCACCAAGTGTTTAATCAGTTCATCTCTACTAATGAAGGGACTCTTCTCTACTATAAATTTTTAATTTATTTTTTTAAAAACTTTTAGCATTATATTACTATTATTGTGGTAAATTTAACTTACAAAATTTATCATTTTTCCATTCCCAAATATATTGATCAGCAGCATGTATCACATAAATATTTTTATGAAATGTACATCATCTTTACCTCTAAAATCTTTCATTATTTTAAAGTGACAGTTTATTAGCAATATAAAGATTGCCAAACATTCATTCCCAACACTGGCTACAGGTATTGCACTAAAAATATGTGAGGAATTAAATAGATCATTAATACTGAAAGTCAGATTAACAGAACTGGATGTTTAGCTTTGCTGCATTTTGAATCATACATTGAAATGGGACTCTGAAGGTGCTGAGATTATATGACCCTGCTGTGCAGCCTTCTCAGGGCACCTTTAATGTCCCTGTTCCTAAGTCT